GTGACTTGGTCATGGACGGGTTTAAGGGTTCTAAGTGGAAGGGTTCTAAGTGGAAGGGTTCTAAGTGGAAGTCGTATGAAGACGTCGACCCACGCATAAACATGGCGCCCACTCTGTTCAATCGACAGATGTCGCTCGCTCGATATAAGGCTCAATAACTACCGTCGAGCGGCGGCGGCGACGGCATGTTGCATCCGTAATGTGCATATACATTGTTTCTCTCCTGTTGCTGCGCATTTACTATACGCATGTCAGGAAGGTAAAAAACATTTAGAATAGAATGATTTTACCGCCCACTCCCGCCGCCGCTTCGATTGCACTCTTCTGCGGCCGCGCAGCGAGCCAGCTGCATCAGCCCAGCTAAGCTAACAAACCATCCACGATATGACCACCATCCATGCACGCAAGCGCCTGCTGCTGCCGCACGTTCGCTGCTGACAGCAGCAACCTACCGATGCGCGAAATATTAGTCGCAAGGCAGTATTGCTTTCTGTGACAGACAGACAGACAGACAGACAGACAGACAGACAGACAGACAGACAGACAGACAGACAGACTTGAATGTAAAGCCCTTAACAACCCTAAACAAAATGCTGCGCACCGCCCGACGACTACTTAAAGTGTGATATAATGCTTTTCGATGAACTCACTCTCATCATCATCAGCTGACCTTCCTTTAAAAATGGACTCTCCCCCAACGAACTCTCGCTAGCTAACCTAGCAAGCAAGCAAGCACGCCAGATGAAGCACGCCGGAGAGACGATCTCGAGATGCTCCTGTATGTATGTCCTGCTGGAGCGCAATGACATACACACACATACACACACGCGCACACACACACGCGCAAACACACACATATAATATATATGCACGTGCGGTGTGGTGGCTAGGTAACCACACATCATGACATGCATATCGCTACATATCTCATCATGCATATGCATGAGAGCATGCATACTCTCTCCTCCATGCATGCATGCACACCGACACCTGCAACTCTATATATTCTTGATGTCACGGCCGCCTTCCATTACAAACTCTCTCTCCTCTCTCTCCTTCCCATTCTCTCTCGCATATGCATGTACGTGATGAGTCATCTAGCTCCCGCAGCGTCTCGAATAACGAATAATAATTTCCGTTCACACACGTGCATGCATGCGCATTCATCGATTAGCACGCTCCGTACGTTAACAAATTCGTGCACATACAAGCATACGTACAGTAATACGTACAGTAATGTCCGTACGTAAGCTGGAACTAACAAGAAGACCATCGCGCGCTGATGCACGCATTTCTTAAAGGCCTCGCACGCCTGGAAAGCGGCAGAATGAACTAGACACGTACCAAGAAATTAAAATAAAAAAAGCTGTGCCTCTGCTTGTATGTATCCTTCCTTCCGTCTCTCCGGCCGGCTGCTTAATAGTAAGTCATTGGAGGGCAATGGAGGATTGCTTCTCTCAGAAATGCAACTAAAGCTTAGTATTACTTGTCAATGAGAGCTTCGTTCATTGCTCGTCCATGCGCTCGTCCACGCACTCGTCCAAATTTTTAACCGAATAAGAGGGTAAAATTGTTCTTCTCAATCGCATCCAGGTGGCCTAACCGTTGGCTTACGTGGCTAGTTTTTTTGCAAGCTTATCGTACATCAACCACCTGTCTACGGCTGGCTGGCTGGCTGGTTGGCTGGTTGGTTGGCCTTCCGCTAACAAAGCTCAGCAATGCGCAACAGCAGCAGATCAGCCGCACATCCATCAGAACATACATCCAGAAATCATAAAACTTGCGAGAATTCGGTTGCTTAGCAGAGTGAAATGCAATCATCGTACTTACGCCTTTTAATTACGGGTAGCAGGAGCACACATACGACGACGACTACGTAGATCATTCCACAGCATCCTCCCTAATACTTTGGAGTAGCGCTTTAATTATTTGCTCGCAACAATACCCACACGCCCTTCTATGTCAAACCTTGTCAACTACACATCACCAATATAAAGTACTGCGGATATGTAAAACCCGCCGTCCATACATAACACGCACGGCAGAATGTGCAGAGGCTATTGCACCGAAACAATTACGTACTGAGCGAAATTTAAATTCACAATTTGGCTAGTTAGCCAAATTATGAGTGCTCATACGATGTCAAGCGATGCTTTCCGCTGGAGCCACGTGACCAAAACCGAATATGGCCGCCAGTCGCGAAAACGAAATGCGAGAGGTTTTGTTGCCGGCCTTTGTCTTCGCACTTTTGTTGACGGCGACAGCAGTTATTATCGTTGCTGAAACTGTAACTTCCAAAGCAGAATCGTCCGGCAGCATGGCTGCAGACAGTGCCGCGCCGGCGGCGGCGCCGCCGTCGTTCGCTGCGAAATCGCTTCCCGGGAGTCCGTTGCTACCAACAACAGTGGTGTTGCTAAGACGGAAAATGGTGACCGCCGTCGCCTCTGCTGCTGCCTCCGCCACTGCCGGTGCGAAAACCGACGCAGGCTGAGGCAATAGTGATAAACTGCCGCTGTTACCTGCTACTGCAACTTGCCGTACAGTGTTGTGGTAAATGCTGCTGCTACTGCCTGCGGCGGCGCCAGATTCCGGATGGATTATTGCAGCTTTATTGGCGAAGTCAATGCTTGAGGAGCCCGCACGGATGGAGCTCCTTCCGTACAATCCTGCCGGGGTTACTACAGACCCGCGGGTCGTTTGCGGGTCAGGTTCCACATGTACAGCAGGTAGCGGACCAGGTAAGCTTGCAGTCTTGCTCTTGTGCATGCAGGCGGTAGAGGTATCAGCAAGAGCAGAGGTCGGCGCGAGACGGGCCTTGGGACTTCCGCACGCCGCGGTCGCTAATAATTTGGGAGAGCCGCCAGCGGCGGGATCTACCTGCCGAGGTGGCGGCGGCAGCGGCGGCGGCGGCGCGACATCCCCCGCCAGGGGAAGCGATAAAGCCATCTTGGCGAGACCGGTTCCTTTGTTGCGATGAGTAAGATCCGTACGGAACTCAGAAGAGCGTGTCGTACGAGTCCCAAGACGGCTCATGTTGCGCGGCTGATGATGAGCTGCCATCCCCATAGCTCCAGTAAAAACTTGCGAGGAGTACAACAGCGCGGCGCCGGGACCCGGTACGGCAATGGATCGAGTTCTCCGCGTGCCGCTGCCGCTGCCGCCGCCGCCGCCGCCACCGCCTCCCCTGCTGCTGCTGCTGCTGACGGTGGCCAGCTGCAGCAGCTCTGGCATGTTAGGCTGGCTGGCGCTCTTCCTGGGGGCTGCGTTCCTACAACCGTGACGCCCAACCGAGCCATTGCTAGGCGCCGACGGACGCTCTAGCTCCTCCTCCTGCAGCTGCTGCTGTTGCTGCCCACCCTGGATTACTTCCGCCACCGTCCTCGTGTCCGCCGCGTCCTCCGCCAGCTTCGCTGTTGTCGCAGCGTTACTGCTACGGCCCCAAAGCCGGAGCAACTTGGCGGCAGTTAGGCGTAGGCCGCGGCCAAAACGGCTGCGGGCCCGCTGTGGCACCACTGTGCTTCCTTCTGACTGAAGTACCTGCCGACGGACGCTGATAACACGTCCGCCACCAACGCCAACGCAGCCGCTGCTCGCGCGGCTTGCATCGCTTCCACAGACGGCTCCCTCCTCCGCTTCAAGCAGTGTCGGGCATACACTTCCCCATTCTGGAGTAGTGATAGTAGTACACGCGCGCACCAATCTCGGTTGTCCGTCAGGGTTGCCGTACCGATCACCAGCACCGCCGCCAGCAGCAGCGGTCAAATCTGCGGAGGGCGTAACAGCACCTCTGCCCCGAGGACGGAGGTGCAGCGGCGGCGGCAGCTCGGGCGCCTGCGGCCGCAGCGCCTGCGCCGCCGCCGGCGGCGGCGGCGGCGGCAATCCCGCGGGTGTCGACGCCTCTTCCCAGAATCCGCTTTGTGCCGTACTCACCAAGAAGCGCCTAAGGCTGTGGAAGGTGGGCGTGGAGGTTAGGCTGGTATCGCGGACCATCGTTGGTGAGGCGCAGGCCAGCAGATCGGTGGCAGCGGCCCGCAAGCTCCACTCTGGCTCAGTGAAGAACGAAGTTGACAAGAGGGCATTGCTGGCGGTGGTGACAACGGTGGGTTTCTGGCGTGCCATGCCCGCCGCAGCGGAAGCCGTGCTGACGTCCGGCGCGGCTGCGGCGGCGGCGTCATCAGCTTGCGATGGGACCGCGTCAATGTCGGTGGCGACAGCTTTGTCGTACATTGTATTCACTAGCGGAATGCCTTGTCCATGCAAGGCGGATGCACGCTGCGCGGCGGCAGCGTCGCCGCCGCCGCCACCGCCGCCGCCGCCGCCGCCACAGGGTCCTCCGTTAATGATTGTGAATTGCCCAGCACAAGGAGGCGGCGTGATGTCTGTGCTGGACAGTGCTGCACGGAAGAGGTGACTGGTGCCGTTGCAAATGGCGGCGCCTTCCACGGAAAGGTCATTGGCAGGCTCTAAGCTTTCGCGGATGTACGGTGGCAAGCTAGTGCTGCTGTGGCGATTGCCGCCGCCGCCGCCGCCGCCGCTTCCGCGACCGTTCCCGCCGCCCGCATCGTCCGTCGCATCCTGCTCCGTTTGCCGTACTTCAAGACCTTCTCCCGGGACATCCCCATCACCAATACTTGCGCTGCTGGCGCTCTCGGGTGTCGTACTGCTCGTCGTACTACATGCGCACACTGCGTCGGACTCGCTGGTCACCTTCCGTGGTGGCATCGGGGGCCAGCTGCTCGTGGCTGTAGCACTTTCGGCGGAGCCGGGAGTAGCTGGTATACTCTGAACGGCGACCGGTACTGCAGCGCTGTACATAACGGCCGGGCTTGTGTACGGCAGCACAGTTGTAGTTGCTGAGGCGCTCCTACACGTCGCTGGGGTGAGATCCGCATACTGTGAACTTTGAGATGGCTTGGTATTAGTGTTGGTATTAGTGTTGGTGTTGGTGGTGGTGTTGTTGTTGTCGTTGCTGGTGTTCGTGTTCGTGTTCGTGTTCGTGTTCGTGTTGGTGATGGTGTTGGTGTTGGTGATGGTGTTGGTGTTGGTGTTGGTGTTGGTGTTGGTGTTGGTGCTGCTAATGCTGGTGTTGTTGCTGATGTTGTTGCTGGTGTTAGTGCCGCTGGTGCTGGTGCTGGTGTTGGTGTTGGTGTTGGTGCTGATGTTTTTGCTGATGTTGGTGCTGGTGTTGTTGCTGGCGCTGGTGCTGGTGTTGTTGCTGATGTTGGTATTGGTGCTGCTGGGCGGCTCCATGAGTTGTCGTGTTCCCGCCGCGTTTGATGGCGGCTGGGCCTCTGCCTTCCGCTCTGCCACCCCCGCCGGTGGCCTGACTACCGGCATCCCCAGCTCTTGTTGCGCCTGCACCACCAGCCTCCGCGGCTGGTATGCCTGCAGTGGAGATGCTTTTTTTGTCGGGCCGTCGCAGCAGTGAGGCTCTAACACCTCCTTAAAGCTCTCTTCAGCGCAATTGCCGTACGGCTGTGCAGGTGCCGCCGTGGCGCAGGCGACGGCGGCGGCGTCAACTTTGAAAGACGAATCTTGCAGCGGTGGCGGTTGCAGTGGCCCAACCGCCGCTGTTGCCGCGGCTAGGGGCTCGCTGCGGCTATAGGTGCCAGCGACGACTTTCGGCGGCGGCGGCGGCGGCGGCGGCAGTACTGCTGCCGCGTCCGCCGCTGCCGCTAGATCCCGCAGCGCTGCCTCTGCACGGGTGCCTGCCATTTGCCGCGCCACGTCCCAAAAGTACGGAAATTGTAGAAGGTCACGCACCGTTGGGCGCTGCAGGGGCTCCAGGCACAAGCAGGCCTCTATCAGGTGAAAGAGTCTTGAATCTAGCTCTGGGAGGCGTTGGCGGAGGGCCCTATGTACGGTTGGCGGGGCGACCACAAAGCATCGCACTGCCGGGTTCACCGCGGCGATGGAAGCTAGTCGCGGCGGTAAGGGACCCAAGCACCTGAGAATGCGCCACAGCTGGTCCATGGAGGACTCTCCTGTGCGCGTGAGGCGGCGTGTGTGTGTGTGACGTTAGCAAGTTACAAGTGCGGGGGTGTCCGTGCAGGGTGTCCATAAAAGCCGGGGGGCCCATGGAAGGTAAAAGCTGTGTGTGGTTATGGGTGTGTGGGTGTGTGGGTGTATGGGTGTGTGGGTGTGGGTGTGAGGGTGTGAACGTTACAAGTATCTGACCGGGCCTGACGACACTGGCCACAGGGACTGCTGCCCATTCCCAACGGAAAGATCGCCTAAGCTCTCTCCCGCGGACGGGAGAGGGGGTTGAGGGGCCTCTCCCCCCTCCTAAGCAGCCGAGAGCCGCAGGTCCACTAGCTCCGCTCTCTCTGGGTGTGGGTGTGTGCATGTTTGGGTGTGTGCGTGTATGGGTGTGTGCGTGTATGGGTATGTGTGCACATGGGTCTGCCATTATAGGTGCGGATTGGATATGCCCATATAGATTTTAATGGTGTAAATGTGGATATTCATGGTAAAAGTGCCGCATGTGCAGTCAGCGGAGTGTAAGCAGTGAAAGTTCTGCAGAGTGCAGTTGCAGCAGACAGACGGAGGCTATTAGATTATTTGCCAAGTTAAACTGATACAGATCAAGTCGTACATGTGCGCTCAGTCGTAAATGCGTGAGTATATGCATAAATGCTCCAACAGCATAAGCTGTACGCGGCGTACAAGTCGTACACGCAGTACATGTCGTACATACCACTGAAACACCGCACGTGTGGTACGACAAGCCCTACACCTACCTGGGAACAAGGGCCGGCCTGTAGCGATCTCCGCAATGGTGCAGCCGATACTCCAAACCTGTTGATTTGTTACAGGTGGAGACAAGTGCACGTGTGATAGGACGCATGTGCCGTACATTTGTACTTACTGGTCTGGGTTAGTCTTTCTGGATAAGAGTGGATGATCTCATCCCTTTACTGCTCCGCAAGCTTCGCGGGGGAATATGCTCATGCTAGTGGTAGTGCTAGCTCACGGGAATCAAAGCATCGCTTAAACAAGCACACGCAATGCCAAATAATGATGCCATGTGTCCTAATGTGCCTTTTTAGGCATCGCTTAGACCAACGAGTTCATTAGTGATTCTTGCATTCCCCGTGACTTATTTTATTTTATTTATTTATTATTGGCAGGAGAGCGCGGTAGGATATGTCTGTAGGATATGCACGTTGCCGGTCTTCTGGCTCAACCCTAACCCAGGAAGGGATATTTGTATATTAGTCTCTACTGCAGTGCACGGCCAGCTGGCCCGATGGCTCTACTCTTCGGGAGTCTGGAGCCCACTGTAACAACCACACACAGGAAGGGGGAAAGGCGCGTAGAGGCTGAAATGCAGCGTCGACGCTGCGAGGACGATTGGACGGACTCGCGGCCACCTAGATCTGCATTCCATCATCGTTGCCCTGCATTACTTTAATTATCACCACCGATATCGTATGATAGTACTTACGTCAGCGCTTGGTCCATAATGGCCTCCAATAAGGACTTCTGTGGGCAAATAAACAAATAGATGAATATATTCACACGGATATAAAAGCGAATGTTGGCTTCATTATTATTTATTTTTTAAATATTCTCCGGGCGGCAATGGCCAAAGTTCTAATACTGGCAAGTACACCAGCTGGTGCTGCAGCACCGTACGTGATCGTACATATTGGAGCACGATACACCATGGATATTATCGAAATTCTTAACTAAGACACTACATACAAGAGTACCAGCGACGGTGATCTTCCCGCCCAGAGCCGGCGGCATACATCCCGGTACGTCGTCGCATCGAAGCCCGTTCGGTACAATTTTCCGTGATTGTGGCCTTTATCAGATCTTGGCATGGTGGCCACACACGACGAAAGAAGACACAATGGCGCGGAGTACGAAAAAAGCATAGCTGAGTACGACGTACGTACCCGGGGCGCGGTACCATCTGGTGGTGATGTACGCCGTGAGCGGCAGGATCTCTCGCAACCCACACGTGGTGCCTCGCGCAAAACCCAAGTCGCACAGTTTTACGACTCCTTGGCTGCTGATGAGGATGTTGGCTGGCTTAATATCTCGGTGTAAGATCTGCCGACGACAGGCAAACAGAAGAACGGAGACAGATCGACAGATAAGCTAACGACGACGCATTGACAGCAGACGAAAAACAGACAGACGAAAAACAGACAGATGGACAGACGGACAGACTGACAGACGGACAGGTAAGCTGATGGCGGAGGACAGACGCCGGATGAGGGTTAGAAGTTTGGAGCACCAGCAGGCGGGATGCGCAGACTGACAGACGTACAAACTGACTGACAGACGGGAGAAGAGAGGGAGGGACGGCAAGTACAAACAAGGGGGGCTATTTCTATGTGTGTATGTTAACCAGCCCAAGGAGGAGAAGTGCGATACGTGCAGACTAGAGAAGCATTAGCAGTTTAGGAGAGCGCAGCGTCGTGCACCGCAACTGCGGAGTATTGCAATTTCCGTACAATTGGACCTGTACCCTTGCACGTGCAGGAAAGGTGTAATGGGGACGGTGCCGTGTGATCGTATCTTAGTACACACACTACATCATGTACGGCATATGGGCATGAGTACGATAGACGTACCTTGTTGTCATGTAGGTATGCTGCACCGGATAGCAATTGCCAAGATAGGATCTTGGTTGGGATCGAAGGCAGGCCGCAAGGGTACCGCTCCAAGTGGTCATGGACGCTTGAGTTGACGTACTCAAAAACCTGGCCGATATGAAATTGTACGTACGTACGTACAGAAGGGCGGTGAAATCAAGAATAGGTTAGGAAAACAAGAGGCATATGCAGACAATTAGTGGTAATTATTGGGCGTTAAAGAAAAAAATAAAAATATTTTAAAGATTGTTTATGATCATGAGCTTTTTCCATTCATGGCACCGTATTCGCAGCATAGAGAGGCATTGGGGTGCCGCATCCTGATACCAGCATTCTGAATTGCATGTGTCAGTAATATCGTGAATGAAGGTGCTAACGGTGTAAGGCGTGTGAAGCAGAAGCGCGCACGGACGGCTCGCTGGCGTTCGCTGCCGGTTCGAATTCGCGCGCGAAACACGCATTTGCGCAATAAATGAAGCAACATTACAGTGAGCATTTTTGACTCAACAGACGTTACGCGTTCAACCGCAGGTTTCTCTTTTTTTGCCTTCTCCGCCAGCAACTCTTTGTCTTCGTGCGCTGTCGTACGTTTACACTATTCTACACCCGCTTAAGGCGCAGAAACGGTCCGTGCGGGCCCAAGTGCGGTGGGTAGAATTTCCCGGCAAAGCTTTACTTGCATAGTTATGTTCTTTTTGTGGAATAGCTGGTGGGAACGCGGGCGAAGAATTCCAAGGAACGTGGCACCTACCAGGTAGACTTTGCCGCTTCGCGACCTGAAGGCAGCATGTAACTTGACCAGGTTGGGGTGCTTGATTAGGCTCAGAAGTTTTGCTTCACGCACCGCCAAATTGAGGATGACTTTATCTTGGTGCGCCTGCGAGCAGTAGCAATCCATCATCCGTGCCCCGGCATAGACACGGCAGCATTTTCGTTACGATAAAAGATGTCCACATGAAAAAATTTAAATTAGTGAATGGTCTTAGGTCATACATGTCTCACGTGCGGAAAGTCGGAGCGACACTGCAACTGGGACAAGCAGTACATACAGTAGTCGTTCGCAAACACGTTGCTTGCCGCAGCTAGATAGCTCGCGGGCGCACACTTTGCACGCGCGAGACACTGCAGCAATTGCTCAAGCACAGGATTACGTTCATTTTGGGTGCGCGCGGGTACGAAACACACTTGACGACGCGACGAATATGCGACGTACAACGAACAGACGTCTGACATGTACTGTCTACTGCCGTAGCGCGCAGACCCGGCGTTAATTTGTCATCAAAAACGTAAAATAAATCTTAAAAAAAATATTTGGATGTGGAGTTTGCGTTAGGTGCTGCCTGCAGTCACGCTTACGACTCAGAAATGGCTGTGGGGACAAAAAAATAAGGCGTCTCCATCCCGACTTTCGCTTGCCCTTCTCATTTTTCCTGTAAGAGAATTTCCGTCTTCAATACCCGGAAAAACCGTCTTTGCAATGGGCAGCGCCAACTGCGTCCCTCTCAAAGCGGAAGCCTCCACCCAAAGCTGAGCCTAATGTCTCTCGGAGGTAGGCTGGGGAGACCAGGCGGCGGCACATCGCGTGCTCATGGGCGCGCACCGAGCCCATCAGGCGAGGACGGGTGAGGACGTCTACGCCCTCACTCGGCGCCACAATAACGACAAAAACTGACACCTTCTATGGGCCAACCTCCTCAGGCATTACGGGCGTCCCTCCCGCACTCACTCGTGTGTGTATGTGTGCGCGGAACCCTTGAAAAATAGCCCGCGCAACCTACTGAGGCCCGCTACTACTCGCATACTAAACGCCAACTCCAGACTGTCCAGAATATTGGCCGCTGCTAGTTAGTTTTGTAACTAAGTAACCCCGTCTTTTTAGGATAGGCAGGGTTAAAGTCGGTTCAATGCATGGCACCACCGGCATCCCCCGGGCGCCCGCTGACCTGCTTGAACCCCTTAACAGCCACCAGATCTCCGGTGCTCTTGTCCCGGCATTTCCACACTTCTCCATAGGCGCCTTCTCCGATTGTTGACACGTACTCGTAGTTCTGCGGTCACATCAACAGGGAGCGGGATTTAGGTTTTCGATGACACGTTTCCTACAAAGGCACTTTCTGGACCTAACAGTCGCGCGGTCAGACTTTGACGCATATTGCGTAGCTGAGAAAAGCTCGTTCGTCGAAAAAAATCAAAGTCATTGATTAAATGCTCTCCTCGCGAGCGGCATGGAGGGAGCGAGCGTACTTGACGCTCAACCGGCTGGTGTAGGCGACAAGACAGCTCGAGCACAAGTAGCTTTGGACAGGAAGATAAAATTTAGCTTTAATGAATGTGTAGGAAATACAATGGCTAAAACCAAATGGTGTAAATTTCGAGCCGGTAGCGCTTCGTCGCAGGCAAGCATGCTCCGCTTAAATTGAGCGTATGATGAGTATATTACATAACGCATAAATAACAGGAATAAGGTGTTACATATTATGCGCTTGCGGGCCGTAGTCGGTCTTAGGGCGCAGAACGAACGACGGTGAAACGCCCATATTAGACAATTTTAAGCATAAGCGGCGCACCTGCATTCAATAAAATCTCTTGAACAACCTCTGGCTTGTGGACTAAGGGCAGGCGTTCGGAGGTACCGCCTACTTAACATGCGGTAAGCAACCGCATTAAAGATCTCGTTGTATATGTGCAGGGAGCTTTTTTAAGCATGTTAAATATTTTTTGGTTGTATTATACTTTGGTTGTGTGCCTTGGCGTCCGTCTTGTACTGACAGTCGTTGTTTAGGAGAAACGTACGACGCCGTTGCCCGTGCGGACTCGCTCCGTACGCGTTGTGTCAATAAGACAAGAAACGATCCGAGGGCAGTATCTAAGCCATATAAAATATTCTTTCTTCTTCCTGATTCCCTTTGTGTCCCGGCTACTTATGAGGATCTTTCTTGCCCGAGTGATTTTACCAGCTGCAAAGGTCATCAAAAGCTCGCCACTAAAAACAACAAAATAAAAAAATTCAGAATATTTTAATTTATATTCAACTTGTAAACCAGCCTTCCATAAGACTACGACAGCTCACTCTCACCCTGCATATCCTGTTCCTTAAATTCTTCCCAAAACAAAGGTACAAATGTTCGCTGTTAACTTTAGGTGCGCGTGGGACTAAGGATAGGTTTGCTGCTGGAAACTGACTGGGATTGCGAAGCCGTCCGAAGCCCACCTTGCTGTGCGGTTCGTACCGTAAATTGTTTCCACCCGAACCTATTCATGCATACGAGTGTTGTGGGATAAACTGGACGAACTGCCGATGAAGTGTGGTGGGAAAACAGTGGGACCTCGGTGGCTGACTTGACTGGGTAATGCAGTCGTGGCCCTGAGTGCTTGCCTCCCGTAGTAGTAGTAGTGCCAGAGTACGGTAACCAGGTGTGCAAGTTTTCCCACTCCATGTCGTGGGATCGAAACTAATACGCACATGAGGCACTTGTAAGCGGTCCTCTTGCAAAGTTTTCTGTAAATTCCTTAAAAGTCATGTGCTTTTGGATGCCAGCCCGAGCCAATCCTGCCAACTTGACAGCCAATTCGACACCCTGAACACGCTAATTCGATACCCTGTCAGGCCAATTTGACACCCCGAACAGGTCAATTCGATACCCTGTCAGGCTAATTCAATACCCTGTTAGGCCAATTCGGCACCCGGACAGGCCAATTCGGCACCCGGACAGGCCAATTCAGGCCCAGCACAGCCCAATTACTTTATAACGGATTGAGCTGCGTTTGGTGGCGCTGGCGACACATCACCTGGATCCAAACTATTTGCATTATATCGTGTTTGAGCTGTGGACCGGTCCCCGTGCACGTGAGAGTCATGGAACGGGGACCCCAAAACGAACGGCGCAAGGCCTCACACGGGGAACGTAAACCCTCCCCGTCAAAATCGCAACAATTTGCAACTTTGTTTGGTACTTTTTCAGCAGCTCCAAAACATTCTGATGCTGTAAAAGCTGCAAGCTTATTAGGTGTAATGATGAACGACGGTTCAAAACGTACTCCCCGAACCGTTCCTTCTCTGTAATCCATACCCCTGTGCTGTCCTCCAGTATAAAGAAATGTTATTCAAGTATACTGGGCCGTAGTTGTGCTGTCATGTATAGCGGTATCAACAATTACTTGCCCGTAGCCCAGAAGCCATCGAAAACAAAACCTGCCCTTAAGAAGACAGAAATAGTAGCGAAGGCACATAAAGAAACTGCGGAAAACGCCGCCACCAAAGAACATGTGCCCTTGCTCCACATGCGGCCTAATCAAGATGAAGGTCACGTAGAAGAGTATTTCTATACTAACCGTATACATGATGATGTGAATGCCGTGGGTGAGGAGGATGCACCATCGGGTGAGGGTTCGGACACCGATGAGGACGATGAATTTTGCCACACATGTGGACATGCATTCCAAAACCTCACGACTAGTTCTGAATCACTTGCGTGTGAAGTTACAGTATCTCTCCCAGGCGGCTGCGCGGCGCACGAGCGGCCGACAAGCTCGTCTCTCGTGTGTTTCGCTGGAGTGGGAAACCAACGGTTTGCCTGCACACTGGCTGCCAATGATCACGCTCAACATGAAAGCAGCATCACCACATACCGGCTGTACGGCCCAAGACACAAATAGCTCTGAAGATCTACACGTCAAGTCATCAAGATAGCTGCATGTGTGTTGCTGGCTACACGTTTTGGGAGGGGGTGTGGAAACCAAAGCGAACTAATATTAGCCCGTAATGTTGTAAGAAACCGATAAGGGGGTGTTTCCACTGGATTAACAGTCACGGATGAAGGTATTTTTGGTCACACGACGGATTCGCACCGCCCTGGTCTGGGCTCTTATCTAAAGGTAGAGTAACAAAAACGTGCATGTTTCTAAATTTGTTTCATTAGCTTGATGAATGTTATCATCTCCACTAGAGAACCAAACGAGTTCAAACGGCGGAGGGCCCCTCCTAAGCAGCCGAGAGCCGCAGGTCCGCTAGCTCCGCTCTCCTACTCCAGGGGGGGGAAGAGGAGGCGTCGCATGCACGCACGCTTTCAGGAGTCGCGGCTCCGTCACGCGAGTTTGCGCACTGAGCCTGAAACACACAACAAGACTCCTCTCCATCTCCGGCCAGGTCTGGCTCTTGGGGTGAGGGTTCACTAAGACAGAGGCAACCTGGAAACCCTGTCCAGACCTTACCCCTACCCACTAAGGCGCAAGGTCCTATTATAAAGCTCGGTCTCTCACCCGATTCTCCGTTCGGGGGGGGCGGGCAGGGTTTAAGAAACTTGCGCTAGCCATCTCTCGAGCACACGCGACGGGGGACGGGCACGGACTGGTCTAGCTGTGTTCCGGAGGTATGAGCGGTTTGGGCGCCCGTTAGTAAACCACTGCGGTGGGGCTATTGCAAGTATTGCCAGCAGCATTTCATCAATTCAAGGACCTGAAGGACCTGGAAGACCTGAACTCGAAGTTGAAGGACGCTGATGGTCACTTAGCCCCGGGCGCAGGATCGCGGAAACGGTAAAAAACCCAGCTCTGGGAGAGTTTTGGAGTAGCACGGGGAACTTAGGGTTTGTGTGACAGGTTTTCGGCAACCGGGTTCCCCCAACTGTTGCCTGAAAGTCCGCCGCGACGCCCAACCGCCTGTGCTGTTGTCTTGTCACGCCATATCTTCGTTGGTGGGAAATTATCCACATGGGGTACCTAGCGGATTCTGCTCTCATACGTCATAAGCAACGGCGGGCACTCTTATTGCCTACAGGTGGGGGAAGAAGGCAGCAGCTATATCGCTCTTAAGGACGCACTAAATCGTATAACACATATCCACGTTCCGAATTGCTGAGACTGATTAAATAAAAAACTGTGTGACCTTATGGCAAGTTTGTTTATTACCTTTTTTTTGCGTTACTATACGCAAAACGACACCCAAGACAAGGAAAAAACATCTTATTTTAGGCGTAGCCGAAAATGTGGTTTGAAGAGGGGCGTCAGAGCGGCGTTGTACGGTGCGGTTAGTTGGTTGTTATTTTGAACTGCTGTTTGCTCGGCGGTGTTTCGTCTTGTCGAATTATCTTCCGGGTGATCTCGGACTCGGCTGCTGGTTGATACGAGCTCTCTTTACCAGAACAGCTGCTAGCTGCCGTTGTTATTGTCCATTGATCAGCGGTGTGGATTTGGCGGCCTTTCTCTTGTAATCTTCAACTCATTTCGGTCATATCGGTCTTATCATCCGCAGCTCATTTCGTCAGTTCTTCCGGTGTTGGTTGCTGTAGACATGCCGCCCTTTGACCATCTGCGCACGACCGCCGACTGCGACCGAGAGCTGGTCTCCTTCCCACCGCTTTCATCGGATGAACTGGACATATTGCAACGGGTAGATCAGCTCCTGGCCATCGACGAGGCGTTGGCGACAGACCTCAGCCAGCAGGAGCAGCATCTGCCCTCGCGGGCCTCGAAATCAGCCAAAGAGGCCCACACAGCCAAGATCGAGTCCATTAGGCGCAAGTATGAGGCTCAGCGTTCGAGGCTCCTTCGAGCCAACCCGACCGTCCCGGACCTGAAGACTCGCGATGCCGCTCGGCTCGCGATCCAGGAGCGTAAACTTCAGCTCGTCTCCGGCGTGCCGCTTCAAGGCTGGCACCCCCTCCCAAATGTGGGCGAGGAGGACACAGGTAAGCTCCCCGCGTTGGACAACGCGGGACCGGGTGGCTCGGGTGGGCCGGGTCAGCTCGGTCGTGTCCAGGGCACCGTGGAGGGTGGAGCTCAGGGGGCTCGCATTCCGGCGGGATCTGACCCTGAAACATTAGTCGACAACGGTGGGTACAACCAGCTGGCGCGGACGATCATCGGCAACCTAGAGATGCAGCCCGCCCACGGTGCAGCTCCTACCCAGGCGGCCGCAGCCGCCTGGCCGGCACCCCACCCTCCAGCGGCCGTTCGACCTGAGGCCCCTCACCAGGCTGGCGTCGTAGTAGTACAGTGCCCCGTCTATCGCCCGACGGGGAGGGCAGCTCTAACCCGCAGCGTGTGGGGGCCCTCCAACTGGGCTAAACGTCAGCATGATGCCTCCTTATCCCCGAGGAGGGGGCTGATATCGTGGTGCACGCCCCGTCTATCGCCCGACGGGGAGGGCAGCTCGAACGCCGGCTCGTGGACAAGGCAGATACGACCCAACACAGGGCAACGCGGGGTAGTCCCTCCCCAAAACACTGACAGGTGCACTAAGCAAGGCCCAACGGGGACGGGGTGCACAAGCAGCCCCTTTTGGAACTCACATTGGGCAGTGACGTCCACTTGTTGTTGGGCGCCGGCCGCCTTATGGGTATGCCCCCAGGCCCCGGCCGCTCGGGTGGCATTCCAGGGAGGGGGCAAGCGGCGGCCGGCGCCTCCACGACCTACACTGAAGCCAGTGCCCCACGGGCGCCCGCCCGCAAGCGCGCCCAAGCCCTGTTGATCGCTGCCTGCTGCTGGTCCCTGGGCATGGCCTGGAGTTGTGGGCAGTTCGAAAGCAGTGGCCCTGCTGGTTGCAGATTAGGCACGTGATGTCCTCGGGGCTCTCTTGGAAGCCCCCCCCGGGGGCCAACGTGGCGGCGAAGGGCCGCATGGAGCCAGACCAGTTGGCCGACTGAGTCTGTCCTGTAAGCACCGCGCCCAGGTACGCTCGCTGCTCGGAGGAGAGAGAAGCGAGGCAGGCGACGAGGGAGGTCTTGCACGGGTCCCCATCCTTTGCCAGGCGGATGACCTCCCTGTAGGGCAGCAGCTGTGACATGTCGTTGAGCTGCTTCTGGGTCTGCTGCGCCTCGGATGCTGTCTTGTAGTGCTGCACCACCTGCACAGCCAGCTGCACCTGTGCTTCAGGGTCCTGTGTCCCGTCGAACTCCATTGCAGCCGCCTGAGCGGCTGCAATGTTGTGGTTGATGACGCGGTTTGCATGACTGTTGAAAGCTGACTGGTCGGACGCCAGGCGCTGTCCTCCTGCTGCCTTGAACATTGATCCCCACTCCGGCACGGCGTCCAGGACGTCCTCCCGGTCTGCTGCGAGGCCGAGCATATCGCTGAAGGGTCCCAGCAAGCCAGGGGCAGCGGTCAGGTCGGCTGCCAACAGGCTTCCGGTGGTGGCTTGGCCCAGCGAGCGCTGGAGGGGTGCGTTGAAGGGGTGCGGCGGGGGGGGGCATGCCGAACTACTACAACACCAGCCTGGCGAGGGGCCTCAGGTCGAACGGCCACTGGAGGGTGGGGTGCCGGCCAGGCGGCTGCGGCCGCCTGGGTAGGAGCTGCACCATGGGCGGGCTGCGTCTCTAGGTTGCCGATGATCCTCCACGCCAGCTGGTTGTACCCACCGTTGTCGACTAATGTTTCAAGGTCAGATCCCGCCGGAACACAAGCCCCCTGAGCTCCACCCTCCACGGTGCCCTGGACGCTACCGAGCTGACCCGGCCCACCCGAGCCACCCGGTCCCGCGTTGTCCAACACGGGGAGCTCACCTGTGTCCTCCTCGCCCACATTTGGGAGGGGGTGCCAGCCTTGAAGCGGCACACCGGAGACGAGCTGAAGTTTACGCTCCTGGATCGTGAGCTGAGCGGCATCACGAGTCTTCAGGTCCGGGACGGTCGGGTTGGCTCAAAGGAGCCTCGAACGCTGAGCCTCATACTTGCGCCTAATGGACTTGATCTTGGCTGTGTGGGCCTCTTTGGCTGATTTCGAGGCCCGCGTGGGCAGATGCTGCTCCTGCTGGCTGAGGTCTGTCACCAACCCCTCGTCGATGGCCAGGAGCTGATCTTCTACCCATTGCAATATGTCCAGTTCATCCGATGAAAGCGGTGGGAAGGAGACCAGCTCTCGGTCGCAGTCGGCGGTCGTGCGCAGATGGTCAAAGGGCGGCATGTCTACAGCAACCAACACCAGAAGTTCTGACGAAATGAGCTGCGGATGATAAGACCGATATGACCGAAATGAGTTGAAGATTACAAGAGAAAGGCCGCCAAATCCACACCGCTGATCAATGGACAATAACAACGGCAGCTAGCAGCTGTTCTGGTAAAGAGAGCTCGTATCAACCAGCAGCCGAGTCCGAGATCCGTATGTAGCTCCATGCGATGAAAAAGGCACGTGGCAAGCTTTACCCCGGCCAATCCCAGTTACCCACCATCACCAGCTTCCCCAGCAGCATGAAAAGTGGACATGATAAGGGACAGGCGATCCGGCAATACATCATTCCCAATTCGTGGATGCATACGCAACTGTCCGCATGGCCATAGCCATTTTGCACATTGCTCGGCAGCGGCGTCCTAATCCCTTTCAGGACGTATCCAAGCACAAACTGCCTTGTAGATAGAGAGCCTAATTATTATGGTGCTTAATTAGGCTGGCCTTACCCTTAAGCTGACCCTTGCAGGCAGGCAGCTGCCTGCCTGCAAGGGTCGTTGATGTCCTTTCGTTTTCATCTTCCACACCATAACCCGACGCCGTAATTCTTATTAATGTTCGGTACTTATGCAATTGTCCACACGGGCGGTGGTTGCGGCCAGGGAAGGCTGACTGAGTTACGCAGTTGCGGCTTCCTCTGGGCCACCCGCCATGCCAATTTCTCCGCATCCTCCCGATAGATTTTTGTTCACATTTCCACGACTGATCGGCTTAAGGGTATAATTAATTACGCTAAAAGTCGCAAGGCTTACGGTGCTTGCCGAACGCAGCCGGTCTGCTGACGCGTGCTTGGAGATGGCGGATGCAGAGCAGTGTGGGCAGGTGGCCGAAGGTTTCGGTACAAGAAGTCGGTAATTAACAAGATATGAATTTTAAAACCGCTAACGGGTATGTCGAGGGCCTCTCCCCGACACTAGCCGGGCATGCATGCCGACAGCCTGAGTGGTGTCACCAACACAACCGGTAACGGTACATCATCATGTTATACTACTATTTACGCATCATATAATTCATGGATTCCGGCAAATGCGCAAGTCCTGTGCGGATAAAGACGACAAGACTACAGACGGATAGTCGACGCCGGAGGTGGATACCTGAATGCGCAGATGCATCAGTGGTTCAAACATCATACCTGGCAAGTGTGAATATAATCAATCTATACAAACAGCCCTGGCTGTTTGCTCATTTTACTGTCTTCAAACATGTTGAAATTCTCTTTGTCATAAATAGTACGACTGGTTGGAGGGCCACGCTTCAGATGCAAATCGCTTCCACGTAAATGTTGTTACGATGCTGTAAAGCTCAGTCGTGCTGCGGAGAGCATGCAATAGGCTTGCGATATGCAACCACAAATTTTTAATTTGCGCAATGCTCGAAATCCAATTGGCACGGGAAAGAAATCAGTAAGAACTAAAAAGACTGTCCCTTCTGTTCATCCATTGACCGATAAGAAATTGGGTGTTGAGCCGCCTGGTGGATTTGAAAATGGTTCCATTAGCGGTCAAAGCAAGGCAGCTCCACCTTCCTTTCACAACTCTACGAACAAAGCCGGACATGGAGAGCGGCGAAGAGCTCAGCCGTTTGGCGAGCGTGTGGCGGGCTACAGTGCCGGCGATGCGCCGGAGAAGCGGAAGAACCCGGAGCTGTATACAGGTCTTAAGGTTCGTTCGCCAAGCCGCTGACGTTTACCTGCGCCGTGACCCCGAACAAGCATTCATTTGTATGCCGCCCAGCTCGTGGGGACACATTTCCCCCTTCCCTTGCACACGCCACCTTCTCCCCGCCACCAAAGCCCCCTTGCATCATTCTCTTTTTTCCAATTTCCTTACTCCATGGGCGCTCATCCCCATCGCCTGGCATCCCTTCCCTGCACCGCGCCTACCGCTACTCGTTGCTCTTCTCAACCCACATATCCCCTTTTCGCAGGCCCCAACGGACGCATCGCCTTCCTTAAACCCCTCCAAAACCATTACCACCGTAAACACCACCCAAGTCGACGGCCCTTCGGTGTCCTACATGCTATCCACCACCGTTGCACCCACCGCCATGCCGTCCACAACAGCAACATCACTCATCAGCAGCACCAATATGTCCGCCGCAGCACCTGGCGCCGCCGCCGTAGCAGCAGCTACAGCCACAGCCGCCGCAGCAGCAACCGGCACTAGCAGCACCGGCGGGCTGGCGATGCAGCCGCGCCATCTCCATTCGCACCGCCAGAAGCCCGAAGTCCTTGCGCCAGTGGGCGGCTGGCCGCAATTACACGCAGCGGTGGAAAACGGCGCGGATGCGGTGTACTTTGGGCTGGAGGACTTCAACGCACGTGCGCGGTAGGAGATGTCACCTTCGGGGGAGAACCAGCGGGAACGATAGGGGGTCGAGAGGAGGGAAAAGGGCAAGAAGAAGATGAAAAAGGGCCTCGAAGACATGGCGCAGACGAGGAAAGCACCCTGATGTGGATCACTGATGTGTAAGGTTTACACCTTCACGGGCTGGAACCCCAATTCACCCCCCTGCGGTGGTGAAACGTTGTCTAAGCAGGTCCTTGAATGCTGTAGCTGGGGCTGGAAGAAAGTCCAGGGGTAGAGACCAACGGGATGCGGCATCAAACCACCGGGCCGACCGGAACTATGGAAAATTTCTGTCAACTTAGGGTTGTTGTATGATTATTAAAATAGTTATTAAAACCACACGCTACGCGTTTTTCGGCTTGCCCAAATAGGAATTGTCTTAGTCTGTAATGGGTGCGCTTGAGGGTGCTGCAGCATTGGAGTTTTGATGAATTGTATTAGTACGGTGAGTCGAATGAGGTGCGATTACCTGTGGAAAGCTTACAAGGAACAAAGCTGATTGATGGATTGTGCTCTCGTCCTTTGTTCTCTCCTTCCATACCCTCTGTTGTTTCTATCTTTTCGATCTTTTCCTTCCCTGAATGCGGAATCCCTTTCCCCCACTTCCCCCTCACTCTCCTTTGGTCCCTTTGTCCCTCCGCTCTCTCGCGTCCCTTTTCCCAAACACCTTTGCCCTCTCCCTCCCGTTCTCTTCCTACTCGCATTCCTTCCATCCTCTCCCTTCTATCTTTTATGTCAATTACATCCCTCGTGTCCTTGTGGACGATTTGTACATTAACGTTGCAGATGTGCTTCCTATTATGAACGATTAACTCCTTACACTTCTCCACCTGCAGTATTCGAGTACAAGGTTCTATGTTTGATATGACGTTTTGGCCGATGTTCTGCGCTTGCTGCTTCACGTTGTCATGTTTTCTGGTTTCTGGGATGTGTGGGGGAGATTCTGAGCTTTGTTGTCGGAAAAGGCAAACACGGCAATACAAGCAACATGAACGTGCTCTTCACCCTCATGTCTTCCCTTTCCTCTCCCTCCCCTTTCTTCTCTCCCTCCTTTCCCTCCTCTCTTTCTGCACCTTGCTTACCCTGAAGGCGTCTCCTCTCCTCTTCCTATACTCTCTCCTCCTCTTCCTATACTCTCTCCTCCTCTTCCTATACTCTCTCCTCCTCTTCCTATACTCTCTCCTCCTCTTCCTATATTCTCTCCTCCTCTTCCTCGCCTTACCGTGAATACTTTGCTCATTAATTTTGCGGACGCACAGCCCGGTTTTAATGCGCAACTCCTCTTCCTGCAGTTCTCGAACAAAACGTGCATTATTGCTAGTTCTTTTTTATTATTTCTTCTTTTACTTGACGCTTGCCTTTGCCATTTTTTCGGGTGTCACATCCCGTATGCCTGCGTCATGAGAACTTTTGTAGCCGCCATATGCTCGGCCACTCCTTTACACTGCACATCTTTCGGACTTCTGCGCTCTTCATTTTACCATACTTTCCATATTATTCAATAACGCCGCGCCAAAGCCCCGAACACAGCGCCTTGTTTTACGGCATTCCTTCCGTATTATGCAAAGAGTACGTGTCTCAGTCCGAGCATGCTCGTCCATTTCATCCAACATCTAGGTTCTTGTCCACCTTTTAGGTGGGCAAGCCAATTGTGAAGGTTATTGATGAGTCATTGGCAGTTGTTGTTGTTGTTATTATTATAACCATGATGATGACTAAGATTGTAAAGTTGTGACGAAGATTTATAAGAACTATGAAGATCTATTAAGATGGATTGAAGAGGATGGTGACACCCACTTACAGGCAACCTGCCAACCGTGGGGATTACATTTGTGTTCAGCACTTTTATCCCTACGTTGGGTTGTTGTTGTTGTCGTTGTTGCAATTGTTGTGCATTGGCTTTGCAACCTCCTCCGAAATGTCCCCTCCTCCTCGTCCTCAGCGATCTATCATAGTCCATCCGGAAATGACTATTCCTTGACTTTTACCTTGACGCCTGTGCCCTCGCCCTTCCTTGCCTCGCCCTTCCTTGCCCTGACCCTGCCCTGCCGTGGCGTCTCGCCCTGCCGACGCGGCCACGCGGCTCGCAGCGCCGCTAACTTCAGTTTGGACGAGCTACCTGACGTCATGTCGTACCTGCATGCCCGTGGCGTCAAAGGCTTCGTCACATTCAACGTTCTCGTGTTCGATGAGGAGCTCCCCGCGGTGGAAGAACGCATCCGTGCAATGGCGGCCGCCGGCGTCGACGCTGTCATCGTACAGGTACGGCATGCTGTACGGTGGCAAACACTTTTGCACGGCCACCGCCGTACTCTTTGTTGTAGGAATACAGGCGATCCAAAAGGTGATCCAGTGCATTTTGCTCCGCGCCCCGCTGTCTTAAGCGCCGCGCGCGGCGCAGCAGCGACTGCTTAGCGCCACGTTTGCATATATTGCTCAGTGCGTGTTCGGTTTGCTCGCGGCCTGAGCCCCCGCCCACTCATAGCTCCTTTGCTTACCACACGCCTGCAGCATCTCCCCGCTACCCGTTGTTGCCTAGTTAAGCCCCAACTGACCAACCAACTAACTAACTGATCAACTAACGAACAGGACTGGGGCGTAGTAGAGCTGATGAGGCGTGTAGCCCCCTGCCTGCCGGTGCACGGCAGCACTCAGATGAGCGTCACCAGTGCGGAGGGGGCGGCCTGGGTTTCGGAGCTGGGGGTGGAGCGCGTGGTGGTGGCTCGGGAGCTGAGCGTGCGGGAGATCGCCAAGGTGCTGCCGGGGGAGGGAAGGGGAGGGGAGGGGGATGGGATGGGAGGGGAGGGCCCTCTGGGAGGTCGGAGTTTAGGGTTTTCGGATGTTTTTCCCCCTGGAGACGATTTATAGGTTCTCTTTGCTCTACCTTTCATTCAATTTTGCACAATGTTTCGTGCGTTACCTTCACGCACAACACATACACGCACACTCACACTTGATGTCCCACTTCCTCTTTACCACCTTCTCCCCCTTCACCCGCTGTTCCCCTTCGCCGCAGGTTCATGACGGTGTGCCTGGTACGGAAGTGGAGGCGTTCGTACACGGCGCTCTGTGCGTGTCGTACAGCGGCCAGTGCTTTAGCAGCGAGGCCTGGGGAGGCCGCTCTGCCAATCGCGGCCAGTGTGCGCAGGCGTGTCGGCTGCCGTACGGCTTGCTTGTGGACGGGGTGTTGCGGGAGCTTGGCGACATCCAATATTTGTTGAGTCCTCAGGACCTGATGGCCGTTGAGCAGGTGGGTAGGCGGGTGGAGGACGGAGAGGGGGAGGGGGAGGGAGGGAGAGAGGGAGGGAGGGAGAGGGAGGGAGGGAGAGGGAGGGAGGGAGAGGGGGAGGGTGGAAGAGAGGGAGGGTGGAAGAGAGGGAGGGTGGAAGAGAGGGAGGGAGGGAGGGGGAGGGAGGGAGGGGGAGGGAGGTATTTTTATGATGCCAAAGGCAAGAAAGCAATGGCCGACGTGTAAAGCGCCAACTGCGCCCAGGTAGGTAGGTAAGGAGGGTCTGTAGAAGGGAGGCAGAGGGAGAAAGGGAACGGAAGGGACGGGGTGTTGGTCGTGGGGTGTGCAGTCAAGTCTTATCGTTGGGTCTTCCTGTTCGTATTCGGTGTCCTCCTCTCCCCTCTGCCTCTCCTGTCCTCCCGGCTCACCCGCGTGCGCACCAGAAGCCTTGCCTGCGTGTCGCCGAAGTTTCCCTTTCCTCCCTCTTCCAGCCCCCCTCTTTCAACCCTCCTTTCAACCCTCCTTTCAACCCCCCTCCTTACCTCTTAGTCCTGCTTCTTGTACACTCTTTCCTTGACAGCAGCTTCACTCGTTCGTGGTTCGTCTTCCCCCTTTTTTTACCTCCCCCTTACCTCCCCCCTTTTTTTTACCTCCCCCTTACCTCCCCCTTTTTTTTACCTCCCCCTTACCTCCCCCCTTTTTTTTACCTCCCCCTTACCTCCCCCCTTTTTTTACCTCCCCCCCTTTTTTTACCTCCCCCCTGGGGGCTGTCAGGTCCCCGACCTCATCTCGGCGGGAGTCAGCTGCTTCAAGATCGAGGGCCGACTGAAGGGCCCCGAGTACGTGGCGCTGACCACTCAGGTCTATCGCAGGGCTGTGGATGCAGCCTGGGACGCGATGACAGCAGCGGAGGAGGGGGCGGAGGCGGAGGGGAAGAACGACGATGG